GGGGGGGGGAGGGGCGAGCGTCGGGAAAAGGCATCTATGGGTCCACCAGTCACGCTCAATCGTCCAAATCAACGTGATTTGTAGTACAGGAGAGCGACCCACGTGCGGCCTCGGTGGCGCTGCGCCGAACAAGAACAGACAACATCTACCGTGTGCATCCGAGGGCACCAAACCTCCAGTCAAGCTTGAGTAGAACTTGCGGAGGGAATTTCATAGTCTAAGACACAAGCCAACCCTACAAACAACCTCCATCTCTTTCCTGAAGGCCGAAAGAGACGGAGGCGGAGGCAACGCCCGTGTTGGGCAGACCCCGCACCAAGGTACACCAAGAGTGGGCACGTTCGAATCCCACGGGACAAGGCGGGAGAGGGGGTATCTAGGACGTGATGGTCGTCCCCGTCTCTCTCCCTCTCCCGGCCTCGTCAACACACAACCGAACAACTCCTTGGTACACGCGTGCAAGCTGGGATTTTCGTAAAGGGTCTCGAAGCACATTTGCATACTTCGCTCGCGGTTTGGTCATCCCCGACGAAAAGCACCCCCGCTCCTTGAGGAAAAAGTCCATGAGCCCAACCCTCTCGGCCCGGTGGTCACACCCTGGCTACCCTCCCTCTTCCAACCGCCGCCGCCATTTGTGACGGGGGTAACGGTAGGTGCAACCACGCACCGTTCGACGGACCACTACCAAATCAAAGCATGACATGGCCTGACCTCAACCACTACCATCACCACGACGACGACATCCTATTGCGGGCGGGCTAGCACGCGCCTCCTGAGTGTTGATTTGTTGATCTCCGTTGCTTTGTTTGGGCAAGTCTTCCGCAACCGCCCTGCGCCGGTTGTGGGTGGCCGTTGCGCTCGTAAAAAAGATCATGATCTCATCTCTGGCAGTTGAAACCGACAGCAACCAGGTCCCTATTGGAAATAAGAAATAAGCCACCGCAGTACAGCGCAGTTAATACGTGCTTGACCAGCAACTGCACCGGAAGCATGAAGCATGACTAGTACTGGTAGTCTACTGCTGCACCTCGTCTGCGGTGACCTTGGAGAGCTCCTCGATGCCGCCGACAAGGGCCAAGGCGGCCTCAATTCCCGTGTTGCTCGGCTTCACCGCCAGCGGGAGCTCGACCGTGGTGAGGTTGGGTATCCGGAGATCCTCGGAGATGGCCACGGCCAGTTCGTCGTCCTTGAGATCTTCCATCCTTGGAGTCTCTGCGGCAATGCTGAAGCCTTAGGTGGCCAACCAGCTGTGGGGCGTTGTGTGTGTGGACGTTGTGGCATCCGCGGCACGCCAATAGGATTATTGTATACCGTGTGATACATTTTGCCGGCCCCCTCTCGCCGAACCGAACCGCTGCCAGCTGCCCGCGGTCAGCCTCAGGACAGCGCCAAAAGAAGCGATATTTAGAGAGGGGGAGAGGTAGTCACACTGACAGCATTAAAGGGCGGCGCGTCTGTGTGGATAGGTCTCTAGTGTTTTCTTTCGGATCAACACAATCAGTCTCCGACAACCCCCGGAAGAGGCATGACTTCGGAAGGAGAAGTTTCCCTGTCGAACGTCGGGGAGCTAAGGGTAGTCGACCTCAAAGAGGAGCTCAAGGGCAGGGGCTTGGCCACCGATGGCAAGAAGGTGAGCGCTATGTTCTCGCACGTCATTACTTTTGGAGAAGCAAATACGCGCGATTCGAGTATCATAATGGGGCAGCGCGAAGGGTAAACATAAACCTGTTCGAGATAGTCTATATTTTTAGTCGAAAGGGATGGTAATAATTTTTTGTCCGACGTTGGTGCTTCTCGCTGACGGGGGGCTAATAGCGGATCACGACAGACAGCACGGGCAAATGACGGCGGGACTGGTTTTCCACGTGAAGCATAAGCATCAGAGCTACCAACAAAAGGGTAGTGCGAGGCCTCTCACTATCCTAGCAAATTTGTTGGTCAGCAGCAAAGCCAGTGGCCCGTCTTGGCTCGCCTGCATCCGTCCGTTTGTCTGTCCGCCCGTCCCACGTCATAGCAAAGTAAAGGTGTCCGATTGAAACATGCCTCAGATGTGCCATCTACATGTATACACCTGCACAACGCCTACCCCTTGGGGTAGCCGACTGGCTGGTGTGTAGTTGTTTGGCCGTGGCCTGGGCGGAGGGTACCGCGTGACGCAAGTCACCCCCCTCGACCGGTTTCAAAGCTCGAGTACACACGCGAAGAGAACGAATGAAATCAAACGGTGTCGGAAAGCTCTCGACGAGACAGCAGTTCCAAGGCAGCCATTTTCGGCACCACCTCCCGTTCTGCCGTGGAGTAATCGAGCTTAGAAAATCGGTCCGAGGGAGGGGGGGAGGGGTGATGTCTTCCGTTACCTACCGCAATTCTCTGGGTAGAGTCCACCGTGAAGAACTCGCGATCCACGTCGATCCCTTCATTCGTCACAACGTGCATGTCGTGATCGCTTTCTCTTGCTCTGCCATCTCCGCTTTTTCTTGATTCTGTCTTTGTGGAACATCCGCTGTGCTGTGCACGTGGAGGCGGTTTTGCTGGAGAGGTTGACGGAAGCGCTTGGATCGCCTATCACAGCGGCGGCAGAGGACGCCAGCCAGGTCGGAGCAGCCGTAATGGAGGGCGATCTAGCTGAGGAGGTGGGCGAGCCGACCGAGAACGGCGACGCCGACGGTGGGGCAGCGGGCGACTCGAGAGAGGGTGACCGGGACGCAGCCGCAAACGGCACTGGTGCTGCCGGTGCCGGCAGCAGCAGCAACGGCAACGGCGGCGCAGCCGTCGTCGCGGCAGAGGCTGCGACCGAGGCTACTGCGGAGGGTGCGACCGGGGGCAGCGGAAGCGGTGGCCGGGAGGCCATGGACGTGCAGCCTCAGGAGGAGAAGGAAGATGCTAAAAACGACACCGGAGATCTCGCCGCCTTTGTGTCTAGCATGGAGGACGGCGGGGGAGCAGCCGAGAGTGCCGTTGCTGCGGGTTCGGGATCAACGCCAACAACGGAAGCAGACCCTCCCTTGTCGGCGGCCGCAGTGGAGGCAGCGGCGGCAGCGGCGGCAGCGGCAGCAGCCGTAGACGCCTTGATCCCCACCGCTGCCGCAACAGCAGCTCCGAAAGACTCGCCGGAAGCGACAGGGGCACCAGCAGCTGAGGCACCGACGGTGGAAGCGGCTGAATCAACCCCAGCTTCAACCCCCTCTGCTGCGACTGAATCAACTACCTCAGCTGCTGGTGCCAAGAAGACTGCTTCGCAGTTTAGCTTCGTGCCGGCGGCCATCGAGACCCCCACGGCTCGCGCGCCGCCCGCGTCGGAAGACACTTACGCCTACGAAGAGGAGCAGGTATTGACGTCCGTCGTCAAGGAGAATGTGGTTTCCCCTACTGTAGGCAGTAGGCGAGTACGGACTCTCTGTCCTTCGGCCAGCACTTGTTGGTGGATTTCTTTTCCGATTTGGAATGCGGGGGATCGGCAGAAATTGCTCAACCACCCCCAAACTGCAGGAGTTTTTGCGTAGTGGAAAGGAAACAGAGAGCTCCAAGGCACTTCGTCACTTCGTTCTCCCCTCACAAACCTCAGTTCGGTTTCAAACCGTCAAGGCTTTACACTCCACTTCTGTGAGCTTCTCGGAGCCAAGTTTGGGCAGCTAGCGTGTGCGCAGAGTTTGCCTCGGATGTGAAAGCAAATTCTCCATTTTCAGTTTGGAATTCATGGGGAATTCCAACCGAGACCGATCGCCCAACATTTCCCAATTGAATCTCCTATTCTACCAAGCACGATGAAGACACACTGCACCCCAGCTCCCCAAACTTGGCTCGAAGGGGCTCACAGCAATGCACTGTGTGGCCTCGAATTCGATTGCAAACGGGTTTCTGTGAGGCGAGTTCGGAGAGCCAGAGCGCGTCTGTATGCTTTTACAACGAAGTGCGCAGAACTCCTTTGGCCTCTGCGGGTTTGGGTGTAAAAGGCGTGAAATCGGGATTCCAATTCGGTAAATTCTCCACAACTGGCCTCACGCTCACAGATAGATGGTGCTTACCGTCAAAACGCCTTGGTGATATCCATAAAAAACCAAAACAATGAAGTGAGGGCACGCACCGCAGGAACAAGCACAAGTATCTCCTTGCGTTTGCCGTCCTGCTTTGGTCCGGCTGGTGTAGACTGACGCATTCCTGGTGTCGGTCGGTCGCCATTGTTTTATTTTTCGGGTGCACTCGTGGCCTGTTTCTCGATCTTCTGCGCCACATCCGGAATCTACACCAAGAGTCCAGTCAACATGATCTTGTACTGCAATATTGCGACGAATAATGTTGACCGCATTCCTACCCCACTCTAGTCTGCGTATGTTCGGAGCATTCCCCTCATCAAGGCCATGGAATCGACTGGTGTTGTTTGTGTGCTCGTCGGCGTGAAATCTCGAACGAGCGCGAGCGTGGCAGAAGACAGATAATCAACAGCAGTGTGCTGTGTTCGAGCATTCCGATGGTCTTCCTGTTCGCCAAGATGATGTCTCTTTTCATGAGGTTTCATCATCGATCATGAGGCCGGCTTATCGATACACACTCTGACGGTTCACAATGATGGTTTTGTCTCGACCGACTTTGTGAACCCGGTCGACCAGGAACGCCTCACTATGCTGAAGAACCTGCACCAGCCCATGCGGAAGTGGTTCAACAAGGATGGCGGAGCCGCAATGCGAGAACGTTACGGGAATTTTCCCATGTTCTGGCAGGTGAGGGTTTCGGTTTCTTACATAATTGCCTGAAGGGAGTCGATCGCATTGTTACCGTCGGCGTCGTCTTTTTTTTGCTCGAGTGTTACGCGTGTTTTGCCCTCAAGGTTGGTTCAGCCGGCTTACGGGAACGCAGCGAATCCCACTGTTGGCATCCGAACTCGGTTCAAGCCCTGTTCTCTTTAGACTGCTGGCGCGCAGAACAAATTTGAAAGCGGTCCAAGTTCCGTCGTAACCCTTGAACGAAAGCCAAGGGTAAGCACCTGTGATTTGTTTCCCGAGGGTCTTCGACCAACCCCTTCGCCTGCTCCCGCCGATCCTCGCAGGAACACGATACAGTAGCCATGCATATTTCATATTCCCCGAGTACCCGAAAGTACAGGCAGTCTCAGTCGTGTGGGTATCTGCCGGGCGAATCCACCCTCTCCCTATGGCGAGCACACGCCGCATAGCGCGAAGCCCCCTTGTCCGAAGTGGCCGACCATGAAACAACAACGTTGTCGTTCCATCTGTGCCGAGAGACTCCACCCGCCTCAAGTGTACCGACCACCTGCCCTCGCCGTAGAGAGGGCCCACAACAAACTCTGTACATCGTTGTGCGCGGGATGTGCAGTAACTTGTTTCGGCCTTCTGCTGACGTCTCATCTCTGCATGTCGAACGTTGTAGGACCTCGCGTCCTGGCCGGCGATGCGGGAGCTCAAGAAGCTCTACCTCATGGAAGTGGAGCGGGGGGAAAAGCCAGCGCCCGCCGCCGCACCCACAGCCGACGATGCCGCCGCCTCCGAAGACACCGCTGCTGATGCGGCTGCCACCCCCGCCGCCGCCAGTGCAACCGATAGCGCCGCCGCTACCGCTGACGCGGCCGCTACCGGTGCCGGGGACGCCCCCTCCGCGGCGGCCAATGGGGCTACGGAGGGTGCGGCGGCAACGACGGCGGAGGCGGGGGCCGCAGGGGAGGAGGGGAACAAGAAGAAGAGGAAGAAGAGGTGGGGTGATGTCCGCAAGAACCGGTTCGCGAGCAAGAACGACGATGAGGCGGAGAGCGCCCCTCCGCCCAATAAGCGAAAATCGAGGTGGGTGTGGACTCCCCCGCTTTTTTCTTTGTGCCTCGCTTTTTAGTGTGGTGCCGGTGTTTGCCGTCTTCGCTACTGGTGTTGCGGTCATGACGCACCGTAGGGTTGCGTGAGATGCCACACCAACTGAAGCGATTTTCAAAGCTGCTGGAGTACATCGCATCAGTAGAATCGACGGTGCCGACATGGCGGGAGGCGTTGGAATCGTCCCGTCGAGAGCTTACCGAAGTATTATCATTTGATTGCGGCACCCTCTTGGTGGTTGCTGCCTTCTGAATCTAGGATGCTTGTAACTTCTGTACCCCTTCCGATATCTAAGTAGGTCGCTCATCCTATCCTAACTTCACGCTCACTAGTTAAACTTGGAAATCACTTGACAAACCCCAAACAACCTTGATTGCACCACACGACACAGGTGGAGTTCCGATGGAGACGCGCAGGCCGTGTCTTTACCGGGGGCAGGGGTATCGAAGAACATTCCCGGCATGCCCGTCAACCTGACCCAGGAGCAGATCCAAGAGAATCTGGTGTTGCACATGAGGCTGCAGCAGGTGAGCCGCCGCCGCTGCCGCCGCCCCCGCCCCCGCCGCGGCCGCCACCGTTCTTAGTGTAGGGGTAGCAACCTTTGGGTTCTCGCAGCAGCACTGCTTTTGCACGACTAACGCACCAACTACGTGGCGGCGTCGACGGTACTGTGATAATTTGACGGCTTGTACAATACACGTATCCGTGTCGTTGTTTTACAGCGGGTGAATCGGTACTGCACAACCGCCGCCACCGGGTCAATGTTTTTGGTACGTCTTGGTGATTCCCACACAGTACAGTACGAGGCGGACCGTCAATTGATGGTTTTTTGTTGACGGTACGGTATTCCCTCGTTGTCTCGTGTCAAGGTCCTACTACTTACCATTTGAGTCCGTTTGGCGACACTCTTTTGTCCATCCTGTTCGTCTACAGCAGACCGCTCCCCTAGAATTACCCATCGACCACCCCCTTCCCCGACCACCCGACGTGGTACGGTGGAAAATGTCGTTCGATAGCCATGCTGAGTGTGTACATCCTCGCAACAGCCCTTCATGCTGTAATTTCGTCCGTCACCCCCCCCTCGGTTGTGTATAATAAACAGGTGAACGAAAAGCTTGCTACAGTGGAACAGGACGCAATCGCTCGAAGCGCGGACCCGGACAGATCTCCGTCCCCTCCCCCCCGCTACGACGCGAACGGTGTTCGAACCAACAACCGCAACGTGCGCATGAGAGCGAGCCTCAACAGGGAGCGAAGTGAGTTGGTCTACAGGTTGTTGTCTTTTTTGCCAGGTTTTGTTCTTTTTTGCTCAGTCAGAGAGACCATAAGAGGGAGAGATGGCGACAGACAGATAGGCACACCCGGAGAGAGAGAGAGAGAGAGAGAGAGAGAGAGAGAGAGAGAGAGAGCTAGTGTAGTCCCCGGGTTAAACATTGCGTTGCTTCAGAAACAGACGAATGCCAGAACAACCCTCAGCCGCCAGAGAGAAAGAGACCCTACGTACACAAGCGTGGAAGATATTTAGGCCTTGTGTGCAAACACCGTATTATCGTCGGACACACCGGGGAGTAAGTGTTGTCGTGGGCCAAGTAGTTGTGTACGAGGTGCCGCGCCAGAAGTTGTTCATGTTTTTGGCGAGAAGAGGTCCAAATAAGGAGCCTCAAATCACCTCATCCAAGGAAATATTGAACTGGGAAAGAATCCCAAGTCATTGCGTTTGTTCACTGCGTTGTATTTATATATGGTCTAGCATGTCAGCAGTGTCAAAAGTCTCCCGAGGGGCATCACGGTGTCCCCATCTGATCATGGCTACTGCTTGAATCTCCGTTTCCCCGTTGGATATGATCCAACATCGAGGTCTCTCTGGCTCATGGTCGTAGGGCCTTCCGCTGCTCACGCTCGCACACGTCCCCTTCGCTCCCCCGAAATACCGCCTTCCAGCCAAGGTGATCGAGGAGATGATGAAGCTCAACCCCATGTTCAAGCCTCCGGCAGACTTTGTGAAGACCAAGCCTCACCGGAAGCTGTATATCCCTACCGACGAGTACCCGGGCTACAACTTCATCGGCAAGTGCACTGCAGCAGATGATGTCTGTTCTGGCTGCTGGTATTGGGAGGTATTTTGTTGCTATTGCCTCTGCAGTTGTTCATATATATATTTTCCCCGTCACAAGTGTGTGATTCTCACCATCAGATTCCTCCTCGTGCTTCCATGCCTTTTTTATCGGCGTTCATACCCCTGTGGGGAAAGTTTGACATTTTGAGTGATGTGCGCGTTTACTTTTCATCCGCCATGATCTAGGTCATTCATCGGGTCTGGTGGCGGCAGCTGGCCTGCAGGGCGGTTTTTATGCACTCTTATATGTTGACTTGCAAAGTCTTTGTTGTAACATGTTCCAGCAATGGTGACAACACACCGCTAGCTGCCAGTCGCCATGGTTCCCAGGTCTCACCGTCGGGCCTCACGGTACAGCACCACCCACCATGGCATGCTTCGAAACGCCCACTGACACCATCCGCTCTGCAGCCCACCGTCAACAAGTCACAGTCACGACACCGAATTCTCGCTGCGGTTACTTTTCGAAGTTGACCCGTCGTTTTTTTTGTTTGTCTTGGTGATTGGTCCAGGTCTCATCATCGGACCTCGCGGCAACACCCAGAAACGCATGGAGCGAGAAACGGACTGCAAGATCGCTATCCGTGGCAAGGGATCCGTCAAGGAAGGGGCTCGCCGCGGTCCAATGGCCATCGACGAGGATGACGAGCTGCACGTCTACGTCTCGGGTGAAACCGAAGAAGCCGTCGAGAAGGTACGAGTGGAGGCGTTATTGCTTGTATCTCGCAGTGAAATCGCTGTGCAGCCGGAATTTTTTTTTTTTCTCCCATCGTTGGACTCTGTCGTCTGCCCCTCTGGCCCCTATCCTCCACTTCTACTAGCTAGACGACCCAACCGGGGTCACATAGGAAGGGGGGGCTGGACCCCCTCCTGCGGTTCTTGCCTGAGGTATTTCTATCGCGAGAAGGGTAAAACCGATTAGGAGGCAGTCGGAAAGGTAGGCACGGAGGTGTCGCTGTTGTCGGTCTCTGGTAGTGATCCCGATATTGGCAGACGAGGAGGTACCTACGGAGGGAAGGGTTGCTGCTGTTGGCAACGCTGGCGTGGTGTTGCGGGGGATGCTCCCGCTGCTGCACGATGACCAGTCACTACTGGAGCAGAAACAGTAATCACTGTGTTCGTCGGGCATGATGACATGATGATACTATGATGAAATGATACTGACATCGTCCGTGCGGAGAAAAAGTTAAGGTTCCAACCAATCAATGGGGTTGTTGGAGGAGGAAACTGCTGGGTGTAGACCGAGTCGACCTGAGGTTCCTGTATCGCATCGGTCCTGGCTACATCGAGCGGGCCGGATTGATATTGTCGCACGTTGTGCGTGTCGCTGTCTTTGCAGGTAGCTGCTTGGGTTTTGTTGCTTACATCTCGTTTTTGTTCTTTTGTTCAGGCGGCGAAGGAGGTTGGGAAGCTTCTCCGACCCCTGGATGATGAGCAGAACGAGCACAAGCAGAAGCAGCTCCGGGAGCTCGCTCTCATCAACGGCACTCTCAGGTTGGTTGGTCCGTTGCGACCCGTCGGTTTTGTTGGTGCTGTCGTTCGTGTGACTGCGGCTTAGTGCGTTCAAGATGGTTTGTTTCTGTAACGATTGTTTTTGGTCCACTAGGTGGTGATTCTTGGGATACGCTGCTGGGTCGGGTAGCTCGTAGCTGCAACTACCTCGCCATTCATCCTCACGTAAGCGGTATTCATGCGTGCTTCTGCTGCCCATCCGCGTAGGCAAAGCATGTCCTAACCTATGTTGCGACATCTAACCTTCGTTTCCTCACACTGCTATTTGACAACAACTACGTCAATGCTAGGGAGGAAGACTACTGCAACATCTGCGGAGAGAAGGGGCATCGCCAATTCGAGTGCCCCAAGCGCGCCCAGACTCGCTCGGCGACCGTCGAGGTGCGGTGCGCCCTCTGCGGAGACACCTCCCACCCTACCCGAGACTGCTTGCTCCACAAGTCCAAGGCCCAGGGGCAGCCGGGCCACGAAGCCTCCCTGGACAAGGAGTACATGAGCTTCATGGCGGAGCTGGGAGACGGGGATGGCGCCGGTGGCGGTGGCGGGGCCACCGGCGCGGCGTCGGCTCCGCAGACCGGCCCTCGCCCCACTCCAACTTCTTCCGCCGCCGCCGGCGGTGGCGGTGGTGCCAGTGGCAAAGGCGGGTTTGTCAGTTCGGGTGGCCCGAAGGCAAACCACTATGTTTGGACGCCGCCGACCGCCCCCGCGGCGGCGCCGGCCGCGACGCCCGCCTCCGGTTCGGGCGGCGGAGGCGGAGGCGGAGCGACGGCGCCGGCGCCGGCGCCGGCGGCGGGTAAGCCTCCACCCATCGTCACACACCACACGTGGACACCGCCCACACCCAGGAAGCAGCCAACACACAGCAGCAGCAGCGGGGGATATCAGGCGGCGCCGCCGCCACAGCAGCATCGGTCTCCGTTCTCCACGAAGCCCCCGGCTGGAGGCAGCGCTGGCGCTGCGGACGGCGCTCCGCTGCTTCCGCCCCCGCCGCAACCCCCCATGGCGCCCCCGGTGCCGCCCAGCGGGATGATGCCCCCCCCGCCGCTGCCGCCGCTGCCGCCGCTGCCGCCGGTTCCGCCCACCCCTCCGTCATCGGGTAGTTCGACCAAAAGCAGCAGCGGTGGGATGCCAACACCCCCGATGGCTCCCCCCTCCGCCACCTCCGCGGCAGCCCCCGGCACGGGCGCGTATAGCTTTGTGCCCCCCCCGCTGCCGACGCCTGCTCCGACGCAAGGAATGTACAGTCAGCAGCCCCCCCCACCCTTGCCCCCGGTCGTGGGCGGATATGGTGGCTATCCGCCCGTCCCCCCGGTCCCGCCGGTGCCCCCGGTGACGCCGACGGCGCCGTGGTCGGGAGTGGCGCCGCCGCTGCCTCCTTCCTCGTCGGATCCTGGTGGTGAGCCTGCTGTTTCGTACACTACAGTAGAGGGGCCCGGAGATACGACGAAAAGAGTAAAATTGTTCGGGTCGGGGCTATTTTCTTCTTTTGGCCACGTCCGTCGAGGCCGTTGTACTGCGTATCAGTAAGATCCTGGGCTGAGCTCGCTTTTATAGCTGTGTGTCTTCAAAGGTTTTTTTATATTTTCGTGAAAAATTCAGCCCTCGGTATATTCTTACCTCCAGGCCCGCACTGTACTTCTTGCCGCCAAGGTAGCCGCCAAGCACGTCACGTAGCGGGAGTTGGGTGCGCCTCGGCGGTGCACGAATACAGGCCGGGCTGTGTCGTGTCTGCGCTTGTTGTCATGGGTACTGTTGGATCGTTAGTGGGTGCTGCATTTCTAGTTGCTGCCTGCGGAGACGTTTTTCTTAGTTTCTCCACGGCGAGCCTTTGCGCTACGGTAGTCTGTGCGATGTCTCGCTGTCGCTACTTCGGAGCCACTGGACACGCCCTGCTACGTCACATCCACATCCCCTGATGCTTACGCCATTTCATATCTGCCCCCCAAACCGCGTGACTTTGACCGTGTGTCTCGCCATGATACAACCGCCTTGCGTCATCAACAATGTGACTTATCAACGCGGCACATCCGCTCATGTCCTCCCCCGCAAACGCACCCCTCGCTCACTCGCAGGGTATGTCCCCCCCCCCCTGCCCCCAAGCATGCCCGGGGCGCCCCCTACGTGGCCCCCTAGCCTGCCCCCACCGGGATTCCAGCCCCCACTTCCAGAGGCCGACGCTAATGCCAGCAAGAGTAATGATGATGGCCCACATTTTGGAGATGGCGGAGCCCCTCCGCTGCCGCCGCCCTTGCCGGGACAGCCGCCTCTCCCTCCGGTACGACACAGATGATTCTATTGAGGGACTTTTCGATTGTACTGGGCGATCATGTTTTCTTGTCTCTCGTGTCAGCGTTTTTTGTTTACTGTAGTCTCTTATTTTCTCACAAGAATTTGGGCCAAACATTCAAAGTTTCGCACCTTTTCACCTTACCAACACAGCATTTTTTGGTGTGTGCGTGTGAAACCCCGTCTTCTGTTAGCCGTTTCGTGGTTGTTAATTCTGCATTCTTCTGCACGCTTCTTTCGTGTTGTGAAAACGTTCCCTTGTTACTGCTGGTTGTCTCTCACCCGCACCCTACCGCATCTTCTGTACAAGTACATTGATTCACCGGCGGCTGATCTCGGGCATGCTCTGATGCCACCGGCGAACGCATCGGGCTAACGAACCCATCGGGCTAACAAACAAGCTTGCGCTGCAAGGGAGTCATCGCTGCCTTCGTGCTCCCGCTTCCGCTATGTGTATGTTCCTCACACGCGAATATGCCTGCACGCCACGCGCAACCACAGGCAACAAGGGGTCGGTCGGTGTGTCCGATGGTCCGCGTGGCTGGCTAGGATAGCCGACGCGTACGCGTCCGAGAGGACCTCGGGCTGGAGCTAACGCTTACCCCCACTCTGCATTTGAAATGAATGTGTCTCCCCCCTCAGAACCCACCCTAAACCAACGCCATGTTATTTCCCCCGTGGCTTCTATCTCCCTTACTGAGTTCAAGTTGGCTTGATGTGAGATTAGGGAGAGCATTGCATGTTTTTTTTTCTGCCACTCGGATTGCGAATGAAAAATTACACATTATTCATTTTTTTCGCATGACACCCTTGTCGAAAATGACAAACGATTCATAGTAGTAGCAGTATTTGACTCGCCGGACTTGTTCCCGCCGCCACCCTTGCCACATGCGTACCGTAACCCCGACGCCGTTTTTCCATTCACCGAGAAACAGTACATTCATCGGTGGGCTTGGGGACCTGACCGCTTCCCTAGCCTCTTCTATCTTCCGCTCTTATCCTTACCCAAGTGTAACAGTCTAGATGCTCCCAGGTTAACCCTGGCGAAAACGCTGTCACTCCAACAACCAAAGATACCATACTGCGCCAATACGACCATACTAAGCAGGCTTCAAGCCTGAGGATAACCCCCCGGCCGATTCTCCCCGCCCTGCGACCTTCCTACGCTTGCCATTCCAATCCACTTTCACGTGCATGCCTCGTCACAGAGAAACCCACTCCCATCGACCGTACCCACTACCGCTACCGCCGTCTAGCTCGACCGCGGTTTAGCCGCCGAGAGGGGCGGTCGGCACGCGTACCGGCTGCGTTTGCTGTGCGTGTCCTTGGCTACCCCGCCTGGCTTGGCCTCCCGTCTTGTTCAGAGGGTGTGGTTCCGACTGTGATCCCTGTGTGTACAACCCGTTTCCCGGCTAGTTATCGATCGGTGGGCTGTACTGGCGCTACATGGCGTGTGTGCCTAACCGCAGCTGGGGGTGTTTTGGGTGTTGCGTGGACTCTTTTGTTGTCGGACTCGTGCTGCTTCGAGATCCCGTTGATCGTTGCCGCCCCGTCCTTACTCCAACCCCATTCCGTGCGTTTGTCCCACCCCGCCCTGTTTCGGTGACGCCGCGTGTTTTTACTCCGCCCCCGTCCGGCCTTTTTTGCTTCTGCTGTTGCTGCTGCCGCTGCTGCTGCTGCTGCTGCTGCTCTTTGTTTTGTTGGCCCTCCCCCCCC